AAGTTGCCACCGGGGTAGGGGGAGAAGGGCAAGAAAAATAGCTGCTTCTGCCTTAAAAAATAAAATAATGTTTTTCTTGCTGTTTCATGGCCCCTGCAGTTCCAGAAAGCCAACGGGTTTTGCCCCACTGGAGCTCGCTGGCTGGGTGCGGGGGTTTCAGTCCCAGGGGTCTCCCTGAAGGCAAAGGGGACTCGCCCGGGACCAGGACGCCCTTGGTGCATCCGTGCTTGTTTACTACACGCGGAGGGAATCAAGATGTTTGGGTTTTACAACTTCAAAAAAAATTTTTTTAAATTTTTTTTTAAATGTTTGTATCCATGTGGGACATGTTTATGTTAACCTTGGCCCTGCACTTAATTTATATATCAGTAGTATTGTATTCTAGCCATTTATGGCCTCTTTAAGGCTTTTCACTTAAAAGCGACCTGCATATTCATTTTCTGGCTGTTTGGTGGCTTCAGAATTTAAATTAACGATGTGCAATGCTTTGTCAAATGACCTGTGGGCATGAATGCCAGCAGAAATGTCTGAAGAGCTACAATGGAAATGTGTAAATGCTCCCGAAACTGGGCTCGGAAGAGAAAGCTGTGGATCAGAAAGCTGTGGATCCCCTTCCTCTGCTCCGCTCGGGAGGCTGGAGGAGCTGAGTTGGGCCCTCTCGGGATAGTGAGAGATGGGGAAGCAAACCGGGCGTTGCTTTGTAACATCGCACGCGTTTCTGTAGTGAGAAGAGCGGAGTGTAAATGGCTGTTGAAGCCCAGGCGATCGCTTCTGAAAGGTTTGGGGTGTTTTTTGATTGTCGTATTTTGCAATTGGTCACTTCTGTTGAGCACGGTTTTACAAAATCATACTTGGAAATACAGAACAACTGCCGTTAAGAATCACGGGAATCAGTTAATCTTTCCTAAACCCTTGATTTTTAGCGTTCTGTTTGGGAAGTGATTGCACTCTGGCATTTCTTTGGTTTTGAGAGAGATGTGTTTGGAAGTTTTTGCTTGATAAATGCTTTCATTTAAATGCTTCTGCAAGGCTGACAGGCGTAATCACCTGCGGTGTGATCTTGGTAATTATGGATAGCAACAGGGCATCATTGTTAGAACTTGGTGCTAAATGAAACTGCTTTGATTAATTGTAAATCCGTCAGATTGTTCCAGTGTTTCGAGCTGAATTTTCATCTTTATCAGTTTAAGTGCCCACATAGGGGATCAGCTAAGGAAATTGAGTTGAGACTAATAGTTAACAATTTACCGTACGTCATGGATTTTCGGTCAAGTGATAAAAGACTGGCAGGAAATGAGAAATTGATACCTCAAATAAGAGTAAACGTGTTAAGTGTAGCTTTTACAAGATTGTTTGATAAATTATAAATTGGTTTAGGCAAAGCACAAGCCGTACTGACATATTTTGGTTAGTCTGAAGCTGATAACACCAACACTTGAAATAAGTTTACACATCTGGAGGTAGATCTGTGGCCGATGTAAATTGTCATAGCGCTGTTGATGTTAATTGGGTTCCAGCAATTTACGCCGATGAGGAGTATGCCTCAGTATCTGTAATAAACAGCATTTTGTATTGGTGGAATATGAGTCTGAGAAGGAGCTGGAATTAACTTTGAAGGTACAAGTAGACTTTTGTTTGGGACATGGGATTTTAAGCAAATGAATTTTTTTCGAAGCTTAGTTTGTAGGTCGGTATGAGGCAAGACATGCAAGTTACCTTACTTGTTACTTTGCAGGAGATGTTAGAAGTTTTAGGCCTAAGTTACACACTCATTCTGCAAAAATTTAGCTTTGTGCATAATACCAGTAACACTGCTTACGTTTTGGAGTCAGCATAGGCAGCCTTGGACCCTGAAAAGCATGTAAGAAAAACTTTGTGCAGTGCTTTAAAGCTCTCCTGTCTATAAAACAAGAAAGGATTTTGTTTTAACTTAACTGAAAAGGTGCTTCTGAAGCTTAGCGATCAGAGGATCTGGCCCAGCAGCACAGTCCCTGTTGTTTGGCGAGACACCAAGTAAGCCAACCACGACAGCCTCGCAGTACTGCTGCTCAACTACTGTGTTTCCTAAATCAAAGATTAGGATTAGAAATAATTGTATTGTTTTCTGTTACAGATCCGTGTTTATATATTCCTCGTTTTGCGCACATGCTTGAGTTTGGGGATAAGAACCATGAGGTGTCCATGACGGCGCTCAGGCTGTTGCAGAGAATGAAGCGGGACTGGATGCACACCGGCCGCCGGCCCTCCGGGCTCTGCGGAGCAGGTATGTCAGATGCTGGGTGTATCGCTTCCCCTGCAGCGGCTTGGACAGGAGAGCCTGGCAGTTGGGAACAGATGAGGGAGTTTCTCATTTCCTTGGTGATACCATATTCTCTGGGCTTTGTGCTGTCAGGCACGTACAGGTTATACAGGTCTTCATCGAAACAGTTTCTGAAACTCAAACTTCATTTTTGCCCTTGCTCCTGCATTACTTGCTCAGATCCTTTGTATCTTACGTTTTGGATTTTTTAACCTCCTTTCTGGTGCTTCTCTTGCCCCCGCTCTCTGCAAGCTCTAGCTACTAAAAGGTTTTTTTGTCGGCTAAAATGACACCATTAGTGCCAGCACTTTGATTTGTGCTTTTCCACAGAGTCTTATGCAAGAAATGCCCTCTTTGACCTGTTCTGTGAAATTATTTTCCTCTCCTTCTTCATCTTTTTCCAAGATCCATTGCTGTCATGATGCTTACAAAAAACCTACCGGTTTGGGAGGGCTAGGTTAAAAGATAGTCAGTACCAGCCAGGGAGGTCAGAGTAATGAAGACTGTAGATAAGTCACAGAGTTCACGTATGCGCTTTATTTTATATGGAAGATCTTACATGTGCGTGCTGGAATGAGAAATCGTGCTTGAACCTTAGGGAACCCAGGACTATGCAATCTTTTTGAAATTTCTAGCCTCTTTTTCTTAATAGTGCTTGCTTATTGCACATTGCTAAAAATTTGAGTGTAGACTCTGTGGGAGACCACCCTGATCTTTGATTCACTACATAGACTATATCCACATGAGCAAGTAATTTGATTCAACAGATATGGAGCAATAGACTGAAGCAGGTGGTGCTGAGTCCCATCCATCCATCCATCCATCCCAGTGGGTTTAGTTTGGTTCCCTGGCCTCAATGTCTGTGCCACACATTGTTTGGAGCTGCGTAAAGGACCAGTTTTTAGTTCAGCTCTCTTGTTCCCATTAGGAACTGGAGCACTTCAAACACATACCTGAAGCGTAGCTCTGGTTTAGTTTCCTCTGAAAGGAATGACTTTTGCCTGCTTGAAGCTGTTCTGCGCACTGAGCCACTGCACGATGAGTGGGGGTGATGCTTCAAGACGGAGCTAGTGCTCTGAATCAACACGCTAACGTAAATGCAGCCAGTACTAGTTATCTAGGTGTATAGAGGGTTTGCACGAGAGTGCTTGGGCACTTGGGACAGTGATAGTGGTGACAGCAATGAGGGTAACAGCTTAAGCAGGTTCAGTGTTTCTGTTCTGGCTTCTGGAAGAGTTAACTTGGAGATCTTCTTATTCAGGGCTAGTAAATTCTGCTAAAAAGATGGTAACTTTGAAGCTACGTGAACAATGAGATGTTCTTGTGCTGTATTTAAGTAGCCATGGTTTTCCAAATGTTAAAGCACAGAATTTTTCAAGGTGCGATTTGCAATCAGCTTAATTTTATTGGATAGGAAGCAAAGTTTGTAAAGTCAAGTCAATCACCTGTGTTCAGGGATGCATTTACAGCTCTTTAGCTGAAGGCAGGCACAAAGGGAAGGTATAGTTATCTGACTGTTTTCTGCCTTTATTCAGGAAATTTTCCTCTTTTTGACATTGACTTTCCCTGCTTATTCTCCAGCTCTGCTAGTGGCAGCAAGAATGCATGATTTCCGACGTACTGTTAAAGAGGTCATCAGGGTGGTCAAGGTTTGTGAGTCTACATTAAGGAAAAGGTCAGTGCAGTTTTATTGCTTTTATCTTTCATTTACAATACTGAAAAGTGGTGTAGTCTAAAATTAATGTATATCAGAGAAAACCAAGTTCTTTTCCTTTTCAGAAGTGCCAGGAATAAAATAAGTACAACATGTTTTAGCTGGTCATTTTTAAGTACTAACACCTGCCTCTTATGTAAGGCCTCAAATGCTTAGCAAAGATGGTAAGGAGCGCTGTGCCCATTTAACAGGTGAAGAGTTTAAGGCAAAAAACGTTGGGTCAGAAATGTTAACAGTGTTGTCATGTCCTGAGAAGAAATAATTGATTGATTCTCAAAGCTGAAGTTGTACACTGGGATTTATTTTTTCATGAATCCAGCATATAGTGCTGAAAAGTCCTGTTCTTTAGCTGTTACTGAGCAGAACTTTTCAAAATACCTTGCTAAAATGTTCATTTGCAATAGTTTTGCACTGCTAATAAATAGAAGACAACGCAGTGAGTCTAATGGTAAATACACTGAAGGGGTCAGAAGTGGAATTATCAGCAGAATGTGACCCTGAAAATGGGAATTTCCCAAGTAACTTTGACATGTTTTTCTTTAAAATATGTAGTAGCATTTTCCATATTTTGATGAAGTAAGCAGTCGCCCAGTTTCCCTCATTTTAGTTTTGAAAAGTTGTAACATTTTCTTTGCCCGTAGGTTCAGTAAGAAATCACCTGACTGGGAAATACCATGCTTTCTGTTGGCCCCAGTTGGAAATTTTTGTCCCACCAATAAATTCTGAAGTTTGTCCTACCAAGGTTTGTCTTCAGGAAGCTCCCCTGGTGTCTGTCTTTCCTCTACCTCACTGAGACCAGCCTAAGCACATCCAGCTGAGTCTAATACTTGTTAATAATATTCACTTCTTAATTGTGAAAAATGTTTTTGCCCCAGATCTTCGTTTGTGGAACAGGAGTGATAGTATTTCCCTACCATGCATGGGTGGTACAAGTATAAATATAAAGTGTTTGAAGTGCTTTAAGGTACTACAACAGTAAGGATGGAGCAGTACAAATGCTACTTTTTTCCTCTGGTCAACAGCTCCTGTGTTTTAATGTGCATTTTGTATGATTAATGATGTATGCACCCACAATCTACTTCAAGATGCCTTCATTAAATAGTTAAAGAGTTCGTTCTTCCTAAGAAAATAAGCATAATAAATTAGAGTTGGAAGGAAAATTAATTTGAGCAATTGTTTCAAGCGAAGAAATCTTGCTTCAAAATTCATGCTTTGAAATGTTTACTCAAGTCACACATATCAACTAAAATGACAGCGTTATTTACTTTGACAGGGTAAACGTGACAGCTGAATTATTTTCAGGCAGCTATAATTACAACTGTATTTATCACGAATCTATAAATTTGATTGATGTTTTTCAAATAAGAGCATGTTATATAGTATTTAACGAAGGCAAATAAAAAAATACCTTAGAATAACTCCTTCTGCACTCCAATTTTTTCTTCTTCTACACTCCATTTTTTTCCTCTTTCAAGAATTTCTTTCAAAATGCCATCAGGTAGAAGTTGTCTAAATTAATAAGCACTTGTTTCATGTTCTTAAAAATTTCTTTGCTTCTCAGTTTGATGTACAGTTTTATTTCCTTTTAATTATTGCTATAGTTACTCTGGTTTGTAAAGAGCTACTGCTGCCTTGTGCATTGTGAAGGTGTTGAGCGTAGTTGAGTGAAGGCTCAGTAATGGACGGCGTTGGATGCTACGCTTGCTGCTGATGGCTTTACCCTGACAGCTCTTGAAGTGAAACCAAACAGGAGTCCGGATAACGCTGAAACTTCCAGCCTGCAGGTTCTGCTGTATGGTTTGATTTACTCCCAGTTGGCTACGTGGCTCCTGGGGAAGCACAGACCATTGGAAGCTGAAGTTGCTTTCAGTGATGACGGATTTCCATGGCAGAAATCTGCAAGGGAAGGGGCAGCACCGACACAAGGTGCCTTGTCTCCCCCCAGCAGTCTGGGTTGGACAAGGCTGCGTTCATCAGTGGCTTGGCTGAGGATGCGGGAGCGATGCTTTTTAGGAAAGCCCTGCTTGTCTTCCTGTTTCATAGAATCATAGAATCATTTAGGTTGGAAAAGACCTTTAGGATCATTGAGTCCAACCATAAACCTAAGACTGCCAAGTCCACCGCTACACCATGTCCCTGAGCACCACATCTACACATCTTTTAAATACCTCCAAGGATGGTGACTCAACCACTTCCCTGGGCAGCCTGTTCCAGTGCTTGACAACCCTTTTGGTGAAGAAATTTTTCCTAATACCCAATGTAAACCTCCCCTGGCACAGCTTCAGGAAGACCCTCAGCAAGGTGGTGGCAGCCCTTCCTTAGGAAGGGCACTACTTCTGATCCTGTGCAATGCAGCCGATGCACCTATGTAAAAGGGGATTAGATCACCCAGTTGTCCATCAGCTGGAGAGATCAAGCCCTACGTGCCCGTAGTCTGTCACCTCTTTCACCGCCATGTACAGGAGGAGTAGCTCATAGGAGGAGGTTCACGAAAATGTGACGTACATACGGGTCATAAAAATGAATGACCTGATCATAAAGGGAATCTGTTTGGGAAGGAAAAAGCGACAAAGCATGGCCCATGGACCCTGTCACTCATCTTCGAATCAAGAATTCTTAATTTAACCATCTGTTTGGTTAAAAAACAGTGTGTGTTTATTTTTAATATGTGTGGGGTTTTGGTAGGATCTTGGTAAGAAGACTTTGTAGTTACTTCACAGGGCCTTCTAGCTTTATGTTTTGAAGCATACAATTAAAATGTAAAGCTTGTTGCTGTTGTTGAAAGTGGATGTATTAAATATTAATAAATGCACTGATAATTCTATCTCATTTCCAGTCTAATTGAAATGATATTAACTTATATATCACTTTATATATTCAAAGTACTGTACAAATATTAACTAATTAGTCAAATTGTTATATTCTGCGTAATCATCTGTGGAGATAGCAGAAATTAACTTTTAATAAACCCAGCCCTTTTATTTAGTTTAATCCTCACGTTTGTGCCTGTGTTGAATGCACCTGTCTTGGCTGCCGCCTTTTTAACCTTTACATACTCTGCCCCTTCATCTGTTTATTCACCTGTTGCATACTTGCTCTGCATACTAAATTCTGTCTTATCTGCAGTGAGAATAATTTTGGTGATATTTGTCCATTGTGCATTATTTGATACTGTGTGGCCCTTACGCATGTTTGAAGATCTTAGGCACTTCTTCAATAGAAATTAAAAAAAAAATTAATCAGCTTATCTTTGTTAACACTTGCATTTTACTTCTTTGCCTTACTCTCTTTATCTTCAAAATGAGCTGTGTTTTACATAAAAAATACTTCTTCTCAGTTCCATAAAGTACTATCTGTTAAAAAACCTATTTGTGATGAACTTCGGAAGAGGTAAAGCTTCATTTAGAAGAAATCAGAACGAAAGGCCAGAATGGGTTTAAAGGGCTCATTTTTGAGGTGAATGTTTTTTCTCACAACAAAATAGCATTTTTTGGGAAACAAGCCTTGTTACGAAGGAACTCCCATTTACCAGGCTGGGTGGAGATGCTGCAGGGACTTTCATAAAGGGGGTCCTTTGCTCATATCCTGGGGACCCAGCTACAGCTCTTTCAATGATTGCGTTGGTAATTTTCTAGAAAAAAAATTAAAGGTTCGTGCATAGAGAGAAATGTATTGCCTGCAGCTTTTCTTATTTTCATTTCTGTAATATATAGCTCCCATAAACTTCATGTCCAAGCTCCCAGTGCAATCTCAAGCCGAGTAGGCTTCTGCGAGCGTAGGCAAGGTGAGGACCAGGTTGATGTGTGAGTCCAGAGTCAGGATGGGACGAGAAGGTAACAGGAAGGCTTCTGGCCGCGAGGTTAAGTTTTCCAAAACACCAAAGCCGAATCAAGGTCAGGACTGAAGGGAAGGGCAGGAAGAAGTCTGTGTTCGGCTGTGATCCGAGGAAAGCCATGCTAAAATCCAGTGAAAGGTAACTGATGAATGGAATGAGAGCTGTTTACCTAAGGTGTTTGAGCATGGAGGAGGGTAGAGGATGCTCAGTACGTCAGGGTTGTGTAAGTGCTCTTGGTTGAGGTGAGGAATGGAGTGAAGCTTTCAGAAAACCAGGCAAGTTACTTCGTGTAAAGGATCTTGTGGTGGTGCCCGCTCTGATCTCGCCTCAGCAGCCGTGGAGCTCCTTCGCTGGCCGCTGTTGCGATAAGCTAAGAAAATAAATTGAGAAATATTTTATGTCTCTGGTTAAATAATTTCAAGTGGCTTATAGGTGATTTCTAGAAATCTTTCTAGGATGGCGAGTAAAATACAGCTTGATCCACATGGGTTGGTATTGCATACCTTGCTAAGTTGGATTGTCTATTTTAATGAAAAAAGGTTTTATTTTTGAGGAATCTAATTTCACAGGCAATGATGTTCCTTTTTATAAATCCAGCTTCTATACAGCTAGTGAGCTAATACGTTAATTAGTTTCCTAATATATTTTAGTACTTCATATTTATTTCAAAAATGTCATTTCAAAATTATTTGGTGTCTGTTACTTTTGATACAATAATTAACTTATGAGCACTAACTCAGGCTTAGATCTTGTAAACAGTTTTCTCTGTGTTTGACTTTCTTCATCTGAGCGGCTGTTAAGAAATTAAGCAGCGCGCTATTTTTCTTTTCCAGGAGATCATAGAGGGTTTTTGACATACCACAGCGGAGGAACCATGCTAATGAAACAAAACTTTAAGGAACACTAAAGTATTTTGTTTCATTAGCGTGGTGTGAACACTTGAATCAGGGGGGAAAAAAAAAACCAAACCAAGAACAAAAAATTCCAGGTGGTTTAGACTGGCAGAGTTCGGGGAGGGGCAGGGAGATTTGTCGGTGGGATTTTTGGTGGGCTAACCGTGTGCACAAGTGTTAACCCGAGTTAACCGCGTGTGTATGTGTTTGCAGAATCAGGGCTTTAAAATGTA